TTATAGGTCACTTAGTCCCCGCGTCGTCCTTGTAATTCTACTAGACACAAAGGACAAAATATGAATTTTAGAATTATGGAATTCTAAAATTAAATACTCGAAAAATAATTAATTGAGAATTAATTATTATTTAAATAATGTGATTATTTAATTTTGAATTTGAATTATGAACATAATTTAAATTTATCATTTTAAACTTATTTGATAAATTGTTCAATTTAGAATTCAAATTAATTTAAGTTTGACTTAAATTCGAATTTGAATTTGAATTAAAATTGGACTATAGGATAAATGATGATTTTCTCTTCCATCCCTATTTGAGATTGGCGCCACACACAAGGTAAAAACCCTAGCATGGCCGGCCACATGAGATACGAGTAGAGGATAATTTTTGTTCAAAATTCAAATATGAGAGAGAGATTTGATTCCTTCCAGAAGTTGGACTTCTACTCTATAAATAAGATATGATGAAAAATTACGCGTGACAATTTTTTAACCTAACTTAAGGGGGCTGGCCGAAATTCCCATAATAGAGAGAAGGAAAATTTTTCTTCAAAATTCCACATCGTGCATGCGTTGGTATTTGTGGAAAATTCGAGTGTTTGATTTAACCCAATTTGTCTCGAGTGTGCCCACACACATGTCTATGTAGATTCAAGGAATTGACGTGGAAGACTTTGGTTTTCTAAACACAAGGCTTTGGAGCAAGGATCGTTTGTGGTCAAAGAACTCAAGTTATCATCCGAATCCGCCTCTAGGTATTTTTCCTAATTGAGTTCTTGATATATAAATTAATGTGATTAATTTATTCGTGCATAAATTAATATAATCTATAGAGTATCTCAAAAGTTTTATGAAAATTTTTGTTATACTTGATCCGCCCTCCCACCACGCTTCCGCATCCAAATTCGATTCAGTTACCAACAAATATATCCATTGCCAATCGAGTTAGGATTGGCCAAGTTAATGCCCGTGCCTTCCACCATTGAACTAAGTCAAATGATTCTGACATTCTGTCGACTACTAAGCCTTCACTAAGGTATGCCATAAGCTCGTTGAAGATGCCGCCGCCGCTGCCACTGCTACTTGTTGACGAAGATTCACTCCCAGCTTCTATTTGAGTTGTCTTGTTCTTCTTCTTCAACCCGAAAACATTCAAGAATGAATGCGGGTTTTCGTCTTGTTGTTGCGGTTCCTATACTCTAGTAGGTACTCTAAACCTAATCTCATATTTACTATAGATCGATTATATTTTTTTCTTTATTATTGGATATTGGTCCGAACAATTGATGCCTAAAAACTCACCTAAATTTTCTAAACCACTTTCTAAACCTTCTAATTTTAATCTATGATAAAAAATAGTACCTAAACCATACAACAAAGGCAACTTAGACCAATATTTTATAAATTTCTTTTCCATAGAATGGATAGGAACTCCTAAGATTTAGTCTTCCCTATATTCGCTAACTAAAATACTAATTCGTTACAATTTTCCTAAAGCTAAAGGTGATGTTGAGTAATATGTTCCACTAAGTTTTAGAGTCACTTCATGAAACCTACCTAAAAATCGATACAAAACTTCGGCAATTTGCCAATCATATGCGTCTATATGTCCTACTCCTACTTTTGCACACATATAGTTTGTTATACCATCCTTATAGGGGATGCATTGTTGAAGCATTATGTAAGTTGAGTTCCATCTTATATGCATATCTAATGTTATAGCCATTACTTTATCTCTTAATCTAAATTCATCAATTACATTTAAAATGGTATTATATATTAAATCTGTGCTATGTGATCCTAGAACACATTTAAAACCTAATATTCTCTAGTATTTTTTAAATAATTTTAATAAATCTTTCCTAAGAGTAGTTTTTGAAGTGAACTGTGTATTATGATTATGTACAACCTTAATATATCATTGCCAATTAGGATGCTCTAGAAAACTAAGTGGTTGATCTAAAGCAACTATCATTCGTGCAACTTCCATACGATCTACTTGCGGATCGTATTTCCATGTGGTTAGACTACCAGTTGTGCGATCAAAAGATAATTGTGTTTGGCAGAGTTCGGATCCGCCGGATTGGCTAAGCTTTTGAAGACAGTTTTTGGAGTGTCTTCTCAAGTGTGTGGTGTCATGAATAGTGTCACCTTGTAATTTAGATAAACAATATTTACACTGAACTATATGTTTAGTGTTACCTTCATTGTCAATCTCCTCAATTATGTCGAAGTGATCCCAAACTGTCGAGGTGCGCTTGCATTTCCTCCTAGAGGTTGCAACACTTGCAGACGCAGTCGAAGTCGCACTGGCACTTATCGGTTCTCCACACCCACCACCATTGCGACCACGACCTCCAGTACGTCTACCAGGGCTCGGATCAGTAGATTCCTGCGTAACAAATTCATTAGTGGAAAATTGCCCTTCTTCCACGTTGTGTTGGGCATCAATGAGAATACCACTATAACCAAAAGGATCCATTATAAAAAAATAAGAGCGATTTGAGAGAGAAAGCTTTAGGATAATGTGATAATTTTTAAAAAAATTATGATAGAGATTGAGAGAGATTGAGAGTGATTGAGATAAATTGAGAAGGATTGAGAGAGTTTGAGTGAGAAAAATGTGTGGGGGATGGGGGTTACTTATAGGGAAATTTTTTGGTTAAAAAATTGATTTGTTTTCAAAAAATTCCGGGTGCAACGGCTACTTTAGGGTTTCGGTGGGTTGGGTTCGGCGGGTTCGGGCGGCAATGGTAAAAAAACTAGCCGTTAGACGGGTTTTTGAGCATTCGGGCACTTCGAGCATCTCGGGCATTCAGGCAAAATGAGACATTGCGAATCTTCTGAACCCGTGACGGGAAAATCTACCTCGTAATCCGCCAATTTATGCAGGTTAATAGGGCGGGTACGGTGAATATTTTTATTCACGGACGAGTTGACGAAAAGACCATCCCGCTTTAGATCTACCATGTTACCATCCTTATTCATAGTTTAATGGGAAGAATTTGAATTTTAAAAAAGAAAATTTTCATATTAGTACTTTATGTTTTAGCGTAATTATCATTTAATATTTTATATTTTTAATAATTTTTGATATCTTGACATTTTGACAATCGTTTTTAAATACTTTTGAGTCTATTTTTAGAGCCGTAAACGGTTAACAATGCCCTTCTCATTAATTAAAAAAAAAAACTAATAAATTTAAGAAAAATACTGAAATTAATCTTTAAACATTTAAAAATTAAAAAAAAATAAAAACATAAATCTTCAAACACCATCTTCTCTCCCCTCTCTTCTCGACATTGTCTCTTCTCTTCTCTTCTCTATTCGGTGAGCCCAGCTCCGGCAAGCCCATACCCCCGTCTTCTTCTCTCTCTCAACCAACTCTCTCTCTCTCTTCTCTCTTTTCTCTCTCGAACAACTCCCTCTCTCTCTTCTATCTCTGGTGAGCCCGTCCCGGCGATCAGCCACCGGCGAGCCGGCCCCATCTGCTGCCATCGCGACCCTGCCCAGCCCCAAACCCAGACCCAGCGCAGCCCCGTTGCAATTCCGACTCCCACCACGCGACTCTGACATCCATTCTCTGCCGCCGTCGCGACCCCTCCCAGCCCCAAACCGAGCCCCGGCGCAGCCCCGTCGCAACCCTGACCCCATCCGTCGTGACCCCGCCCAGCCCCGAACCCAGCCCCGCCGCCGAACTCCGGCGAGCCAAACAGGTATAATCTTTGTAGATTAACATTTTCAGATTTTCTAAACAACTCCAAATACTATTTTCGAGGTTGTTGCCGTTCATTTTTACCCAGAAACTTTCTCAAACCAACTCAGTCTCTACTGGGTATTTATTGAATTTCGAAATTGTTTTGGGGATTTCGCAGGAAATTTTGTAAACCCATTTGGAACTATGCTCGGAGGAGTGAAATTCATACCGCGTGACCAGATTGATAAGGCAATGAAAAATCCATCTTACCTTTTTCATTTTTTGTTCTTTTAGTTAAATAAAATGAAAATGAAATATATGCTTATTTTACTAATGGATAATTTTTGCTAACTGGATCATAGGATGATAGCTCAGATGCATTGAAAAAAGATAGAAAGAAATCGGGTCAAAAGGATAAGAGGGATAAGGGGAAAAAGAGGAGTTCTAGTTATAGTAGTTCGGATGAAGAGCTTGAGAGAGTAAAGAGAAGCTCTAGAAAGAAGAAGTGGTACTCTTCTGATGAGTATTCGTCTTCCTCGTATTCCTCGGAAAGTGATAGCGGAAAAAGTTCGTCCAAAGACGAAAAGAGACGACGCAGGAGGAAAAAGGGTAGAAGAAGGGATGAAGATGATGATGATAGCTCAGGGGATGAGGCTAAAGGAAGAAAGAAAGCTAGAAGGAAAGGAAAAGAGAAAAGGAGTAGAGGAGACATTGCGGAACATGATATGTCTGGTGAGTTTCTTTCTATGCTGTATTTATAGGCCGAAGTGTTTGATGCATGCCGACATTGGTGAAATTGTCTTGTCTGCTTTTATTTAGATTGTAGATTGTAGATATTGGGAAAAGAAGTAGCAAAGAATAATGCAACAATGTAAAAGTAGAATGAAGAATAAACCATGTAGTATAGGCAAAAGGTAAAGAAAATTCTAAGTTGGGATAGGATGATTATTCAGTGTTTAACTCTGATGGGATGATTATTGAAATTTGAATTCTTTGAGATGTAGATTCTTAATTGCAGTAGAACTCAGTTTCAGGAATATGGTCCATGCGACCTCCCATTTCATTAAAATTTATCTACTTCTGCTTTCTGTAGAGGACAGTGGAGGAGCTAATTCTTTCAAAGACAAGGAAATTGTAAGGGCGGAAATGGGGTTGGAATGGATGCTTAGACCTGAAGCAAAGATGGATAGAGGACCCAGAGTCGCTGTTGAGAATGAGCCAGAGGAAGCTAAGAATGAGGAGGTATGCTCTGAGTTTCAGATTGGAAAGCTGTTTCGGGACCTTGGGTGTTGTGATATTTCAAAATATAATGGGGTTGTTTGTCATACTGTATGCAAATTGCATTTTGTTGGATGATGGTGGTGATCTAACTCCTATCATTCTTGTAATTAAAATGGAGCAATTAAGAGTTGATATGGCTGTGAACAAGATCTGAATATGTTGAATATTTGTCATCAATAAATGCTTGCTAAAATACAATTCAATGCTCAACATATCATGTAATTATAATGTTAAAGGCTCCCATATGATATTCAACAGATTTTGTCATCATTGTTATATTTTTGCTTGCTTGGTGCTTATAAACCTTTTTTTTTCCTTCCCTTCTTTCTTTTAAAAAATAGTTGTGTTGAAAGTTTTGAATAGTAAAAGTATCAGCATTTTCACCTTTACACATACACTTCTAGTGCTGCCCATCTCTTTATGTACTTATGATTTCAGTTCTTCGGTATTGCTCAACACTTTTCGTCTTTGGACCCAGATAAAGAAGGTCAATCCCAGGGAACTAAATCCATATTTGAAGGATAATGGTAGAGGTTATCCAGAAGAGAAGGACGATCCTAAAGCTGGTAGCAGTAAACTCCCATCTTCCTCTCTTGTTGGAGATGGAGGTGCGAGTTGGAGACTGAAAGCTTTGAAGCGTGCAAAAGAGCAAGCAGCTAGAGATGGAAAGAGGGTTGAGGAGGTGTACTTCCTTGTTTTTATTCTTTGATAGCATTACCAACATATTTTTGGTATGTACTTTTAACTTTTAAGCATTTGAATTATACAGGTCGTCGAGGAGCGGTGGGGTTCTCTTGGTCAACTGGCTGTATCTGTGTCATCTCATAAAGCCGCCCCGACTCATGCTCATCTGAATGCTATAAACAGTAGGAAAAGAGGGGTTACTGAAGAAAGCCAAGCTGGTTCAGAAAGTGAACATAAAAAGAATATTGAAAAGGTAACGCAGAACAAGATAGAGAAATATTGATTGTAAGAGTTTTAATGGGATAAGAATTAATACGTTTCTTCAATTGTTGTTTGCAAGATCAGTACTGAACAAAACTATGCATACCATAGGCCTTTTTAGCACAGCTAAGAATTCAAAACCTAAGATAAAGATCAAAGCTGAAACTCAGGGTGTAAAATTTGGATAAAACACAAAATCCTAAATAATTGAGAAATTCTTAGATATCTAACTCTGATATCATAACTTCTCTTTTTTAGGCCTAGTGTAAGTTTGAAATTCATTCTCATGATAGGCCTTTTTATATTATAGTTTGCTTTTATTTTCTTATTTATTCATTTATTTATTGTGTGGGAGTATGACCCGCTTGCTTAAATTATAACATAATTGTGATTATCAGGGCAGTGGTCGGGACTACCTAAAGGACATATCTCTCAAGCTACCTAAAATGAGGGCGCCTAAAGTTAAAGATTCTTTAGCCTGGGGAAAGCGTAAAAGTCAGAATGTCTCTACACAAGATGATGGCCTTATTTCTGAAGCCGTATCTAGCTTAAATAAGTTTTCAAACGATGGAAGCTTTATGCGTGAAGTTCTTCAAAAGCAGAGTAATAAGTCTGATGGTCCTGCCGGGGAAAATGAAAAATCAGAAATTGAAACAAGCTCCGTAGTCAGAGACTCCTCATTAAGCGCAAACCAACTGGCAGCGAAGGCTTTTCAGCTTCGTGTGAAAGGAAAGCATGAAGAAGCTGAGAAACTTTTGGTAAGGCCCATTTTAAGCTTTTGTTTTGACTTAATCTCTTTTGTTATCTTTGTAATATATTGATAAGAACAAAGTTTGGTTCCCACAGAAAAGAATCAAGAAGAATGAAAATGTAATCTTTACTGATTAACCGAACGAATCACAAACAATCCTACGAATACTATGACACACCCTTGCTCAGCCTCAGCCAAGACTTCCCAAAATCACTCAGACTATTTCCCCCCTCTCTCAGTTCCCGAACACCCCTTTTATATAACCTGCATTCTCTAACTAATTCCCTCCCCAACTAAAGTCTCAGTAACTAACTAATAATATCCTTTCTAACAAACAACTAACTTCTCTAACCAATTAACAAGTTCCTATCATATATATGACGTGCATGCTCAACATGAATAAGTCTTGCTACTGTCACACTAGCACGACTGATTGCATTTGGTGCTGATTACTTTTTTTTTTTTTTGGGGCATTGTTTATCAGCAAGAAGTGGAGAATATCAAGGCTAAGCAGGACGGTGATGATTATGTCTATAGACCAAGAAAAGAGGAAAGCTCAAACAGGTAAATACGCATTTTCGGTTTGCAAATCCTTTTCTCCTTCCTTTTATCTTGATGCTCGTTTTCTTGAAAGAAATTTAAAAACCTAAAAAGATATTACTGTGGATATCAACAATTTTTGCCAACAAACTGTGCTATCTTGTACAATGGTTTTTGTTATACTGATTAATTTGATATGCAGCTCATGGCTTTAATGGACTTTTATTTCCACTTAATGATAGTTTGCAACTTGTACTAAATCTATCTAATAAAGACGTCCTCTTTATCTAGACATGTTATGCAGGATATGTCTCTTCGGCGCAAGAAGAATGAGGATGATGCTGATAGGCATCTAGCTCAAAAGATAATGCAGAACAAACAATATAGTACGTATGGTCAGGCAGATGATGAGTACGACTTTGATGATGGTCCAAGCAGAAAGTCGCGGAAGAAGCGGCCGGATAATGATCAGGCTGCCCAGAGGAATACAATCGCAAATCGTTTCTCAATTAAGCAAGAAGACTGCATTTTTTGCTATGAGAATCCAAGAAGGCCAGCACATCTTGTTGTGGCGGTAGCGAATTTCACATATTTGATGTTGCCACAATGGGAGCCTGTGGCGCCCGGCCATTGTTGTATTTTGCCAATGCAGGTGAGCTCAATCTTATCTTGCTTCTCATACTTTGTTGCAAAACTAAATGTGATGTCACTTATTCATGAGGTAATTGTCAACTAGACGAGTAAAGTGAAGGCATTTACTTTCGGGAGGTGTGGCCATGCTTCATTATGATATTCGGTAGACTTGAGGGACTTATCTGAAAAGATTGATAAACCTAGTTTAAATCGATTGAAACATGATAAGATGTTCTTTCTTACTAAAAATTATTTCAATTTCGACCTTGTGCTGAAAATTCATTTACTTGTTAGGAGATTTTGACATTTAAACTTTCTCAACAGCATGTACCATCCACAAGAAGTGTTGATGATTATGTTTGGGAAGAAATTCGAAATTTAAAGAAATGCCTCATTATGATGTTTGGCGAGCAAGAGAAGGATGTCGTGTTTCTCGAAACAGTGATGGGTTTGGGACAACAACGGCGTCATTGTATGGTTGAGTGTGTTCCTTTGGACCGAGAACTCGCCGAAGAAGCTCCTCATTACTTTAAAATGGTCAGTTTGTACGTTGTTTTGATTTTGCTTTAGATGCCCCATTAGTTTGAGTAGATAGTCTGGCTCCTTAGTCTTCATCGATAGTGCTTCATACATTTCTATTTGCACTTGAGATAATGTAGATAATCGTATCATTATCGCATAATAACCAAAAATTTTACATAAATAGTTAAATAGACCGAATTTTAAATCGAATTTTACATAAATAGTCCTCATCGATAGTGCTTCATACATTTCTGAAGTATGAAATGTATCAATTACAATGTAAATAGGTAATTGATTAAAAGAAAGGTAAGTGATTGGTTGATTCCATTCTATTTAGACATTATTAAAGTAAAATTCGGTCTATATATGATGGGGCTCCTGGACCCCCATTACGTTTCACCTATGCTAGAAGAATGCCTAGAAGAGTTCGTGTTGATGTGGCAGCAAGGGATGAGGTGGAGGCTGGTGAGGTGGAATCGGTGAGTGGAGGAAAAGGTGTTGACATGGAGGGAACTCAAGGAGCTGTTGAGCTCACTGCTGAGTGAAGTGCGTGATGTCTCGGATCTCGAGAGGAGCCTCGGAAGAAGAGAAGGGAAGAGGGAAACGGTTAGCTAGAACTAGAGAATAAAAATAGAGAGCGGAGGGTAGGGAGGATCATCGTTGAACTTCTCTGTAATTTTCATAGACGAGCCTTGGCTCTAGCGAGTGCAAGGGGTCACTCGAACACCCCCATAGCTCTTGCATTTCCTTGATAATTACAGTTCAGATCAATTTCTTTCAATTCTTCCCTCTAATTTTCTGATATTGTGTGAATCATCTGGCTGGGAATTTAAGTCTTAACAATATACTATTGCCAACCATCTTCTGATAATATCTAGTTTGTAATAAAAATTCTATGCCTTTATGTGGTTGGTCGACTTTTGTTTTCGTTTCTGCTTTCGTTTTCTGTACTAGTTGAGAAGTTATCTGCGCTGTCTTTATTTTTTGTAGTTTGAACAACTACGATTGCGAATTTGCATACTCAAACTTATCCTGTTATTGATATTATCCGCGCTTAAGTTCATAGGATCTTTTCTTCTATTCATAAATCATAAATTTTAAAATCCACTTTTCTATTTCAGGAAATAGAGGAAGCTGAAAGTGAATGGAGTCGACACAACGCCAAGAAACTTATCGACACTAGCGTAAAAGGATTGCGTAAATCAATACCTGAGAACCTGCCATACTTCCATGTTGAATTTGGTCTCAAGAAGGGGTTCCTCCATCCTATTGACGATGAGAAACAGTTTAAGAGCAACTTTGGTCTGAATGTCATAAGAGGAATACTCAAAGTGCCGGAGGAAGACATGTATCGACGCCGTCGCCGGAGATACGAATCAACCGAAGAACAAAAGCAAGCTGCTAAGAGTTTTGCTCGTGATTGGGCGCGGTTTGACTGGACAAAGCAGTTGCATGAAGAATCATGAGGCGGCAATACTTTGGCTCTGAACATTTTTCTGTAGAATTTAATGTAATGACTAGTGATAGCAGAAACCGTTAGGGGCTAGTGTATGTAGAATTTTTTAAGAGAGTGATTACATTACAGTCGTCTTGAGCTTCTGATGTAGCAAGTACATATTTGAAATTCTTGTTATTGAGTGTCGGTTTCTATCACATCTCAAGTTATAAGAAAAAAAAAAAAATTCTGTTTCGCAAAAATAAAAATAATAGATTTGAAAGAACAATCAAGGTTTATACTTCATTAACCGTTGGATTGTAGAAAAGGAAAAAGATAAAACTTTGCATTGCGTGCATCATGTCTTCTGTATAGCTATAGTGTTGTACACAAGTCATAAAGTACATGCATATTTTGGTCAAACAATAATTTAACGGTCTGATTCATATTCTTAACGAAAATTTAATGATAAACCAAAAAGTTACGGGTACGTTTGTTTGGTTGCAGTGGGGAAATGGTAATAGGAATAGAAATGTGAATGATAATAGAATAGAATAGAAAGGAAAGATGATTCATTTGTTTGGTTCTACTTTTACAAATGCAATGGAATAAGATATGAATATTTTCATGTTGACAAAATTACCCCTTGTGTTAATATAACTAATATCATATATATTAATATAATCATTTAATAACTAATATATATATAATTATAAGGATATCATATATATAATTATAATTATAGTTATATAATATTTATTATTATAATACAATCATAATATATAATATAATAAAATAATGATATTGTGAATATTTTATATTATAATGTTACAACTATACTATATTATATTATTAGAAATATAGTATAATTATAAAAATGTAATAATATAATATAATATAACATATTATAATTATAATATATAATATAGTATATTATCATTTCTAATTATAGTATATTATCTATTATCTATTATAATATAAATTTATATTGTAATTATATAAATACTTAATTATAATATTATAAAATATAGTATCTGATTATAATTACAATATTATATATTTAAAATAATAAATTATATTATATTTAATTTTATAAAAAAATACTACTATCCTAATTATTATTATAATTATTTATTACAATATCACAATTATATTATATTATAATGATAAATATAATAATAAAACGTTGTTGAGTATGTGGCTTTACTCCAAGGTAACTCAAGTCTCGATTGAGCAGTCATTTTTCATAGTCACGAGCACCGTTTCACATTTGCAACTGTAGAGGGCGTTTTATGACCCCTAGCTGGTGTAGAAGTTCTATCTACAAATGGATAAGACTTCTATATTAATATTAGTTTATAGGAGTTTTTAAAAATAAAAAAAAAAGGAGCAATACCAAACTTCGTGATAGAACAAGAAGTTTGGTATTGCTCCTTTTTTTCATAATAAATTATTATTTATTAGTCTTTTGCTGAGTTAGACAAAAAGAGAAGAAACTTGGACAAAAAAAGAAGTAACTTGGACAAAAGAAAGGAAGTGACTTAGACAAATCTTTTTTGTCGATAACCTCAGACCAATCAATCGAATAATGATTAATACATAATCGATCGAACACTACTTGAAAACGGCTCCTCTGCTCAGAAATGAAATGTTCCAAATGTTCCTGTAAATTCTTGCTCCCATTGGACCATTTGTATCTATATGCATTAGAATTTATGTTGGATTGGCACTACATAAATAATCAACATATATACAAAAAAGTGTAGACGTATGAATAAATTAAAAAAGAAAACTAAAAATCCCGGGTTTATTCAATTAATATCAATCAATATAAGTATCAATATTAAGTAAAAGTAAAAACGTCTTTACTATGGACGCTTTCTTCTGGCTCCACTTATGAGAGGACAAGCCGAAACAATAGGCATTGTGAAGCGAAGAGCTTTGCTTGGAGAAACAGAAGGAACATGTATCACACGCGCAAAATCCGAGAAAATACCACATGAATATTCTACCATAGTCGGTATTCAAGAATCCGTACATGAAATTTTAATGAATTTGAAAGAAATTGTATTGAGAAATTATTATTAATTACAATATGACGATTATATTGTATGTTATATTAATGATAAATAAAATTACAATGTATAATACATAATATAAGATATTATTATAATATTAAATATGATATATTATAATATACGTATAAAATTATAATATATTTTATCATATGTTACAAGATATTATTATATTATAATATAAATTATTATAATATAATATTAATTATATTATAGATATTAATATCATAATATTTATAATTATAATATTTAAGGGTAATGATGGAAAAGAAAATTAAAAGAGCTTAGAATGGACATTCTTCTCATATGAGAGAGGAATGATAATTCACTTATTTGATGGAAAAGTCATTCCATTTTGAATGACCATTCCTTTTCTTAAAACTAACTAAACATGATAATGAACCTTGATTCTTTTCCATTCCTTTCCATTCCCCCTAACCCTAAGTAGATAACAACTAAGAATGAAAGGTCAAATGCAATTATTTACATTTGCATCAATATGAAATATGAACTGTGTTAAAAATTAGATGTCATAATTCTATATTATTAAGAGTAATAAAATTGTAGAAAATGACATTAAACAAACGAACACCTAAATTTTTAGTGGTTTGAGATTGCCAACTTTCACTGTGATGATAAAAAAGCTTACAAGATAAAATCGCACACTTCACAGTTATTTGTATTTTTTTTAATGAAGATAACAATCGTCAGGGCAATAATTAAGCTCCTTAATTTGGCAAATTCATCTACTTAAAAAGAGAGAGAGAGAGTCAACTCTTATTCTTCGTCTTCATTTTTGAGCGAGAAATGAACTTTATTTTGTACGATGTGTCTATTGGTCACTATATCCAATTGTAGGTGGAACAAGGCTAGGAAGATAAAACGTAAAATTGTGGAGAAAGCTCCTTGCGAGTTTAACAAAAGCCTAAAGCGTGTAATTGAGCCCGTTTAGTTGGAGGATTCGTTCTCTGATTCGAATTATAGTTTATAGTTTGTTATAGTATTTTCTCTCACAAAAAACATACGTAAATAAAAAATGATTCTAATCTATGAACCAAACGGGCTCTAACTTATTCCCACATACAGGTCTTTAAGAAGTTGTTTAGTTGGGGGATTCGTCACTTGATTCGAATCATGGTTCGTGGTTCGTTACAGTATTTTCTCTCACAAAAAATACACGTAAATCAAAAATAATTTTAATCACATAATTCTAATCCATGAACTAAACGTATCCTAACTAATTCTTCTGTGGATTTGAATAATGACGTAGATGATGATGATAATGTTGAGAATACTTATTATTATTATTTTTTTAAAAGAAAAAGTGTCCAAATATAGGACTCTGTGTCTTAAAATGTAAGCATGTACAGACATTTCAACTGTACTAATAATTACCACCCAATAAAAAAAGTATTAAAAAAGGAAATATCACTCAAATCAGGAACAAAGAAATACCTTATTTAGGGGTTGTTCTTTTAAAATGTAACTTGAGTGTGGTTTTTGAGTTATAATTTGAGTTGAAGTTATAACTTGAATAAAGTTGAGTAAAGTTGAATAAAGTTAAAACTTAAAAGAACGTGAACTTGAATAAAGTTGAAACTCGAGTTGTCTTTTTTTGAGTTTTTTGGATAAAAGAACATGCCCTTAATCACCATTTATAGCTAAGAAGTGGATGGGGAATCGCATTTGTTGAAGGGTTGTTTGATTGGGGGATTTGTAACCCGATTTGAATTATAATTCATGATTTGTTATAGTATTTTTTCTCATAAAAAATACACGTAAATAAAAAATGGTTCTAATTTCATGATTCTAATCCATGAACCAAACGTCTCCGAAAGAATTCAGCTTATGTTTAACAAAAAAAGAGGAGGGGGGATTGGGATTTGAATTATTAAGGGTGCGTTCGGCTGGTCAAAAAACTCAAAAAAATGTAACTCGAGTTTCAATTTTATTCAAGTTCATGTTCTTTTAAGTTTGAACTCAAGTTTGGGACTAAAACTCGAGTTCAAGTGTCCCCTTCAACTTGAGTTTAGAAACTCGAACTCAAATTAATGAACAGTATTTTTTCTATTCTTAAAAATGCTATAACTTTTTCATTTTAATCCTGATTGAGATGATTTTTTTCTATGCGTTGATAACGAAAAGACGAATAAAACCTCACCCAGATACTCTATTAAAATTTTTCATCACCATTGAGTTTTTATTAAAATACTATCTAAATACAAATTTAAGTTTTGACTCACTCAAACACAAACTCAAAAAAAAATTCTTATCTCAAACCATAACTCAAATGTACACAACCAAACACAAACTCAAGTTACAACTTCAACTCAAGTTATAACTCAAATTTAACTCAAAAACTACACTCAAGTCACACTCCAAAACAACAGGCCATAAGGTTTGGTTCATTTTATCGATTTGAGTTTAGAATTTGAGTTTTATTACAGTAAAAAATTCTCAAAAACAGTCGCATCTAACTTTTTTGCTACAGTAAAAAACTCTCATATAAAGTCACATCTCAACTCGAATTAAAACTCGAATCAGCGAACTAAAATGGGCCCTAAGGCATCGTTCATTTCACCAATTTAGGTTTTCAATTTCAATTTTGATACAATTAAAGTTCTCACAAAAGTCAAATCTAATTTTTTCTATTACAATTAAAAACTCTCATATAAAATCACATTTTAACTCAAATTAAAAATTCGTATCAACCAACTAAACGATGCCTTAAAATTTACTAAATTTTGGATTTAGTTTCAGAATTCCCCTGGCCTCTTGTTTTAGAGGACAAAAATAACAGCCTTACATAACACTTACATAACAGAGCCAAGTGGAAAGGTCAAGAAAGTGAGGATTTGATAATATGTCTAGATTAACTTCTAGATTACTTGAAGTGTTATAGTTGAACATATCCGAAAACAAATACCACGAAAACAAACAAAACAAATCCGAAAACAAACTTAAGAACTAGAAAGTCAAAGTCCAGCAGCAAAGGTCAATGTAGTATGAAATGCCTTAACAAAGTCACTTTTGCTTTCCTCCTCAACTAATCAGCATCAACCTTCCTGTAACAAAAGAAAGAATCAAACTTGACGTTAGTAAATAACCCGGATTTAAATAACATGAAGTTAAGACATTTATGAGATGTTTATTTTAAAAATTCGTCTTTAATTTTAAATTATAATTTTTAATTCTTTATAATATT